ATCGTCTATTGATTGCTGTATAAAGCGTTTCTAGTTCTCGTCTAGTTTTTACATAACGATTTTTTGAATGTGTCTTTTAACGTGAAATGAACTCCAGCTAAGTCAATGGCAAATTAAAAAAATTGCCAAAACTCCAAAAATTAAGTTATAAATTTGAAACTTTCATAGCACATAAAGTGAAGTATCGTCTATTGATTTCTGTATAAAGCGCTTCTAGTTCTCGTCTAGTTTTTACATAACAATTTTTTGAATGTGTCTTTTAACGTGAAATGAACTCCGGCTAAGTCAATGGCAAATTAAAAAAATTGCGAAAACTCCAAAAATTAAGTTATAAATTTGGAACTTTCTTGGCACATAAAGTGAAGTATCGTCTATTGAATGCTGTATAAAGCGCTTCTAGCTCTAGTCTAGTTTTTGCATAACGATTTTTTAAAAGTGGCTTTTAACGTGAAAGGAACTCCCGCTAAGTCAACGGCAAATTAAAAACATTGCCAAAACTCCAAAAATTACGCTATAAATTTGCAACCTCCAAGGCATATAAAGTGAAGTATCGTCTATTGATTGCTGTATAAAGCGCTTCTAGCTGTCGTCTAGTTTTTGCATACCCATTCTTTGAAAGTGTCTTTTAACGTGAACGAAACTCTTGCTAAGTCAAAGGCAATTTGAAAAAATTGCCAAAACTCCACAAATTACGTTATAAATTTGCAACTTTCACGTCATACAGAGTGAAGTGTCTCCTGAACACTGTTATAGAAAAGGTCTGTTTCTTTAGGAGAATTTTTGCTCCCTGATTTTTTCAATATGTTTCTTAATGTAAAAGAGACATCAGCTAATTTCAAGCCAATTTAAAAAACTCGACAAACCTCGACAAACCATGGTATAATAGGGCAACTTTTCGGGCGTATAAAGCAAAGAGTCTTCTATAGATTTCTATATAAAATATCTGTGGTTTTGCTATAGTTTTCGCATTACGATTTTTTGAATGTGGTATAAATGTAAACGAGACTGCGAGAAGTCGATTTAAAAAAATTCTCAAAGCGCTTGACTACTATGCGAAGAGTGAAATGAGTCATTGAAGGGCAGGTTTTGAGGGTGTGTATGGAAGAAAATAGTTTAAGTTCGAATAAAAGACTCCATAGGAAAGAACGACGCTCTTTTGCAAACTGGAAGGGAACGAGGGTTAATTGACGGGAAAGTTTGCCTTAAAATGAGCCAAAAGATGTTTCCTCAATGAAGCTGGAAATAGTTCATTGGAAATGGCAGGCTTTGTACAAGGGCACCCAAAAAAAAATATTTCATGAAAATGGGACTCTTGATCGCATTTTTTGCTGCTTATAACAATTGCAGCTTGCGGGAAACCGGCGAACTCCCATGAACATTCCGGATGTTTTCGAACATCGGAAATGTGGATATTCCCAGGCATTGTTTGGACTGAAAGTCCATCCTAAAGCGCGTTGATCACGGTACTGTTTGTGCAAATCATTGCCATAATCGCCAAGGCCGACACGGCGATTTGGTCATTTTTTCAGGTGTGAAAAATGGCAAAATCCGCCAATGAAGGCCAAAAACTGTTTAAATCCCAGTCAAACTTCCTTGTGAATTTCACTGGAGCCTCACTGGCAGCAAATCCTGATTTCCTGATGTGAAAAAGACAAGGCACGGAATTCCAGACCGAAATCCAGGCGAACGCAATTTCTATGCAACCGATTTCGCTTCTTCTGCTGCTGAACTCCTGATTAAAGCGCTCGCAGTTAGGACGTTTTTCCCGGACAAACTGCTGGTCCGACAACCGGTAAAATTTCACTCAATCAAGTAAAATCGATCTGGAGTTGAGTGAGAGAAGAAGATGTGGGGAAGGAACTTTATGAATGGGGAAAAATATATATATAATATACAGGGTTGCTCATTAGTGCGTCATGTTTCCATGGTAACATGTACCCGGTTAACTTGATCTAAACAAAAATAAATTAATTTTCTCCCTTTTTGCAAATAGCTTAGAAACGGTGCTTCT